TAATTAAGAGATCAGAGACCTGAGGTAGAGACATGCTTCTAAGAATTAAATACAATTGTTGGCAGAACATCAATTAATCAAATGTATCCCGAGACTCTTAAATGAAGATTTTCCATCTCTGGTGCTGAATGTTATTTAGTACATATTATTAGGTTTTCTACTCTTAAATCTAGCAAACTCAGTGTTCTCTCTCTATTCTCTCACCTTCATTTAAATTCTTCTGAGCTTTTCTGTCTGTTTTATGGTGATTCAGTAAATATCAGAATCAATTTTAGTGAAGTTTCATGCAGATAACTAGGTATGCGAAAACACTCCTGTCCTGATTTTCTTTGTGAGGAATGTACCATTTGCTTCTGTTTGATTGCTGGCTCTGCTCTGTTTAATGGCTGAGTCTGTGCAGCAAGTGGGAAAATTGCCTCTTCTTTTGTCTGCTGCACTCTGAGCTGGTAAAACAGCACTGGAAGAAGACAGGAAACCCGTGTTATCCTTAAGCAGATGGGAGCGCTCAGAAACTATGGAGTGCTGGATGATACATGGAGCTTTGCAGCAAGAGCTGAGGCTGGAGCAGTAAAGAATGCATGTGACCAGGCTGCAGAGGGGACTAGGAAAATGCATGTGCAGGTCAGCTTTTTGCAACTGAGGAAGCCATTGAAAGCTGATGAACTAAAATTTAGCTGAGCTGAAGGAAAGACCTGCCAAGAAAGGGCAAAGAGAGCACAGGTGACTGATTCTAAGTGTCTTCTACCTTAATACTGTTAAGTATGTTTTATTAGTACTTAAGAGTTTTGAATCCCTTTTATTGGCTGCAATGTATCTATCATCAAAGCCAGTCCACCTCAAGGCCATCTTGAGTTTTCATTGCTTTGCAACCTGTAACTTGAGATTTTATCATTTAGCTTGAGTTAATCACATTTGTCTGCAACACATGTACTGTTTTTTGCTGGGATAAAGTTAATTTTCTTCGTATTAATTTGTATTATGGTGTGTTCTGGATTTGTAATGAAAACAATAGTTGCTGAGCACTGCTTACACGTGGTTAGGTCCTTTCCTGCTTCTCAAGCTATCCCAACATCAAGCAGACTGGGGATGCACAAGAGTCTGAGATGCGACACAGCCAGGACAGCTGACTCCAAACTGACCAAAGGGATATTCCATCCTACTTAACATGGTGATCATTTATAAAAAGTGGAGGAAAAAGGAGCAGGGGAGTTTGCTCTGGGGCTGCGGTAGCTTGGGGCAGGCTGGGCGTTGTTTGGATAGTGGTGAGCAGTTGTGTTTTGCATCACTTGTTCTTATTTTTTCTTGGCTTTGTTGCTGTGAAGTGTTAGGTTTTTTTTCTGAGCTTTTTTTCAAACTTACAAAACTGTCTTTATTTTTACCTACAGGTTTTCCAACTTTTGCCCTTCTAATTCTCTTCCCCAGTTTAGGGGCAATGAGTCAGCAGCTGTGTGGTACTTACTTGCATATTAGGGTTAAACAAAGAAGTGGAGTATAACGTCAGTGATAAATTATCATGTAATTCCTGAAGTGCTTAGGTATGAAACATTTGTGATGGCTGATACATGATGTGATTGCTGAGTGACTCATTTATAGCATTCAACTGTAAGAAGCTTTTCTTGGTCCAGAAACGTATTTGTATTGTTTGTTTCATTCATTCTGTTTGAGTGAATTCAAATTCTAGGATGGTTTTCAGGTAAGAAATGTTTCTAATAGAACGTGAGACTTAGTCTGTTGGAAAAGATTTGCTTTACCAGGCCATAACACAGCTGATGGAGGTTGCTCTATAGTAAAGTATTGATGCCTTGGGATAATGTTTTAGCAACGTCAGTAAAACAGAGGCAGTGGGAATTCAGCTCTGTGAGTCACTAGCAGCATTTAATATTCATACTTGCATAATGTAGGAACAGGGCTATCACTCATGAAATCAGCTGTCCAAATGAAGCAGCTAAGTGATGAGCTGTTAACTTAAGGAGGGATGGAGCTCTTTTTGGTCACTGTTAAAAAGGCACTCTTTTCAAGAGCAAGTGAAGATCATCAGGGTAATAATTTGAAACTATTTAGGGAGCATGTGATGAAATTAAATTTTTGATCCTGTTCATCTCTTCCCCTCCCCCCCTCTCCTTTTTTTTTCTCTTTCCACATTTTCTCACAAAGAAGAAAGGTTTTCTTTATCCTGGATTTTTACTGAAGAGTCTTAAGATGTCACAGACTGAACACCCGGACATTTGCTATCAGATGCCATAGAATGAGTAGAGGATGCAAATTTTAAGTGAATCAAGACAGAGTTTACTCATTTTTAGATCAGCATCTCCTTTACTTTTACCGTCCCTGTGCAGACATTGCCAAGTTATTCACCACTGCTCATGAGTAACAAATATTTGATAGTACAGTTAAACAAAGCTCAGCATTACTGGAATTCAACTTCTGCTGATTTTAGGGTAAGACTGAATATAAATAATGAAGAGGAGAGGTTATAAGTTTTTTTTTTTTTTTTTATATATATATATATGTATGTATGTAATTCTAGTATGTTGAACAAGAAGCACTTTGTGAAGGACTTATGGAAGATGAGTGATTTTTTCCAGTGATAGATAAAATAACTTTACATTTGCTAAGGCTTTTGTATGATGGAATTTTCTCTTTCTCAAAGAACTTTAGGAAGGAGAATGGTAGCAAAGAGCATGCACTCTTTAGGAGCTTTGCATGTTAGGAGGAAGTATGTCTGAGGGGTGGCCTGTGGAGGCTCCCATGCCAGAAAAGTTGAGAAGAGTGAGAAACATGGAGCTTCTAAGGGGAGAAACTGCTTTCTGGTGACACGCACCCCACTAATTGTTCCTTACGCAGTTCCCTTCTCCTCACACTTCTACTCTGCTCCAACCTGGTCCTCTGCTTGGGCTACAGTCCCTCACACAGGAGTGGGTTTCCTGATCTCTGTCAGAGCCATAGTCCCTGTCAGGAGTATCCACACCACTCTGTTTCTTGCTCTGCATGTGGTCTTCATGTTGAGGACAGCAGCATGTAGGAACTGCTTGCCTAGGGAACCAGGAAAGTAATGCATAATGGATTGTCCTGAAGGATGGCCAGAGATACTGTGTCCAGGACCTTGAGAAAACCCAAGGAGGATTTTTTCCATCCACATCCAGACAGGATGTGCTGTTTCAGTAGTTCTGGCCTAAGAGTTCTGACAAGTACACATGCGTTTTGGAAAATGAGGTAAGGCACAAAAATCTTCCTTCCAAAACCACGTGAAAATTAAATGCAAAAATGCTTGTTAGATTTTTTTCTTTTTTCTCTCCTTGCACTGATTGTTTTGAAGAAAGAGCAGGAACACGTCCAAATTGTTGATCAGCATTGCCTAAACAAGTAAAGTATGAACTCGTAGGTTTTCAGAAACTGCATTCAGGATATGAATAAAAGTAACAGACCTGTAAAGGAATTGTCCACTTCTGGGAAGTAAAACAGATGTGTAGCACAGGTAGACGTGAGCACTGGCATCAAGACTGCTATCAGTGTCAGTGCTATGTCATTTTTATGTTTTGCAGATGGGGAAATTATACTGACTTAATAACATGTAAGCTACATTCCGGGAAGAATTTTGAGTGTGATGTGTATTGGGACTGAGGTTTGTAGTCCTTGCTCTCTGGTCATGCAGTTTCTATATAACCAGTGGCTGCTTCTCATCATTGAAAGTGCATCTGAAATGGATACAAGTATACCTAGTGGCTTCTGTTTCTATTCACTGTTGCTTTAGAATTTTAGTTTCTGCTTATAATAAATGAAAAAATATATAGAACTGCTTTGGCTGATGAGAAAACATCTGTACTGCTAGCACCTTTGTTGGCAGTTGCATTGATAGTGTATGGACTGCAGCTTAATGCCTGGAAGTTATTCTTCCTCATTAGGTGAAAGAAGGATTGGACCAGCTGATGCTTGCCTGTGGCTTCTGTCTGATATCTCAACAGAAGCCCTTTGAAAACAGACCTCAGTAATCTTTTTCAACTTACGTTTATACATTCCCATTTTTCTTATTTTTTTGAATGCTACTGTTACAAATAAGAGAAAATGTCCAAATGACAAAATAAGCCAGTGGATTGTTTTAAGGTTATGTGGAGAAACAAGTGTGGAATAAAATTTGATGTAATAAGGTCTTTTATACTAATAGATGGCATCTTCTTTCAACACTTTACACCATAGTAAGTCTTCTTTCTCTAGTTTTATTTCTGTGAAGTGCAGTATTTCAGACAAGAATCTTTTCTTTAGTCTCATGATTGTAACTTGCTTTAATAATAAATAAAAATAAAAAGCTCAACACAACAAACACAACCAGCAACATGCAACTCAAAAAAAATACCAGGTACAGTCTATGGTAACGTTCTTTCTGATCTTACCTTGCTTTGGATACTTCACTTTGCAGTCTTGTAAGCAGTAACGTAATACAGGTAAAATCTTTACATCAGCCTTTACCAGAGGGGCAGAAAAACCTTTGTGTGAAATAAGTGTATGCACAAAGGGAGTTAGTGCAGAATAAGTTGCATTTTTGATTCTCACCCTCGCTTTTGCTACACCCACTTCCCTCTGCAGACAGGCTTAAGGGAGGGATTTTTTTTTAAGGATGTAATTCAATTTTCAGAGGGGAATGGAATTAAACAGTACAACTGTCATTACAGTTTGTGAGCTGCATGTAAAGACAGAGTTTTATGGCTTAAATTTTTAATGCAGCTGTGTTTAAAATAAATGTTTTATGTTCTGCTGCAATATCAGTTTTAGGTCATGTGAAACTAAGCTAGTTTACCTTCTCCTTAGACATATTCCTAGCTATTGTTAAATAGAGCATATTTTAAGCTGCATCATGTGACCAAATGTCTACTAAATACACCGTTGGTTGTAACACTATTTCTTCAGGCTACTTTCCAGAAAAGAGAAGTATTTCTTACATGAGCCTATATATACAGCTAGTACCCTATTTTCACCCATTTTTTCATTTTTATTTTTTCCATCAGAAAGGAGAGCCAAACTGCAGTATTCTTTCTCCAGAAACCACAGAGCAGCTGACCTTTGAGATTCCTCTGAACGATTCTGGCTCTGCTGGACTTGGTGTGAGCTTAAAAGGCAACAAATCTCGGGAGACTGGAGCTGACCTTGGGATTTTCATCAAATCCGTTATTCACGGAGGTGCTGCTTTTAAGGTATGGAGTAAATAGATCAGGCTGTGGTTGCATTAGATTTCTGACAGTTGTGTGTTTGGTCCCAAATTTGTCTTGGTAAATCTTCTGTGAATGAGGAACTTTTTGCCACTAACTCCTCTAGGGGAACTGTCAGTCGAAGGAGACCTGTGGAGCATTTTGATACTGGAGGGATGGCAGGGGAGGAAGATTGAGGGTGTGTGGATGGGAGGAGAGGCTGTCTCCATTACTCCCTATAGCTCACAGAAAGAAGTGGGAAAGTTTGCTGTGCTGCTAGACTTGGGGACAGAGAAGTTATCAGTCAACCTACACTGCTTTTTATCTTCCCAAAGTAATATAGGCAGACCCATAAAACAATTAAAATAAAATTTATGAAAAAATATGAACTGGCAATTCTGTGAAGTTAAGAATTATGTATTTAATAAAATATTTAAACTATTGCTCTCAGCATGGCTTATCTGAGCCTGGCATTAACTGTGCAGAAGTTACCAATTGTTCCTCATGTGGATTGAGTTGGTATGTGACAGTATTATGAATCCCTCTTAGGGTTGTACTAGAGCTAGTGTATGTTTCTAATTAAGAAGGATTGGATTACTTTCTAAGCTTTAGGAAATCTGTTAATTTTTTTCCAGATAAAACTTGAAAAAAGTATCTATCTTGAATTCTTTTAAGAAAGTCTTAATTTGAAAGCATAGTACCTGTAGCTGTTGTGGACCCATAATGTAACTTTTTTTCTCATTACATCACTAATTCCTTGCAGTTCTCTTTTCTGTAAAAATACCTTTTAATTCAGTTTATGTCAATTCGTTCACAGACATTAGCCTCCTGAGTAAGACAGTTCACAGCATAATAACCTATTTATGATATTTGGTAAATAGCAATCATCAAGGCTTTTGCTCTGATATGAATGTTTCCAGCTCCTATTAGTTACCTGTCCTAGTCCCACAGTTATTTCAAAGCTAGTATCTTTTGAAAAGCAACAGCTTGATACATGCAATACAGAACTCTGCCTGTGATTAATTCCAGGGCTAAGTGACAAATGAATAAAATAATCTCCTTGGTGTATATCAGAACCACGTTAAAGTGTGATTGGCAAATTAGAGCTGCACAAACTCATGCATGTCTGCCACAGAGTACAACTCATTTTACTGTGAAGATGAAGCTGCTGTCCTTGCTTTCCCACCTCCCTGTTCCCTGAATAATTATCCACACCAGTTGCAATGCCAGTATATGGCACCACAAGTAAATTCATTGTTTTGACTTGCAAGGCATGTGGGCTCATGTCCCAGGAGCATCAGTGGGCATATTTCCATTAGTCTTTCATACATATGTACATTCCATACAATCTTACAGCATACACCATTGCCATGTCAGAGATGCATAAGCATATTTCAAGATCTTTCTGTTTACCACACTCTGTTTTTCCAACTGTTAGTCCAGAGCAGTTAGTTTTGGCTTTGAGAGATCTTGCAGACTAATAAAGCAGGGCTTCCTTACCCATACCTAGGTAAGTGTGCAGCTGGCACCACTGGATTCTTTGTCTGGAATGTTATTTTGTCCCACGATAAGCTGTGGTTCTGTGACCCCATCTCTGTACTCCCTTGTACTCTTCACCAACTGCAACTGTGTATTGATAGATGAGTGTGGGCTACAAAGCAAATGAGGGAATAGCTGGGGCTCTGGCTTTAGACAGAACTGCTTGAAGAACCTCCTTTCCTATGTGTTTAATACAAGTACTCAGAGAGTACAGTCATTTGGGAAGTATCTTAAGACATGGTTTACTGTGGCACATACACAGACAACAGCTGTCTTTCTCCTGTCTCAGGACCTTTATTTGGAGCAAAACAAAATCAGTTGGTATTATCAATTAATACAATTTCTTGTATCAAGTTAAAAAAAAAAAAAGTGCATACATTTTTGTATAGATATTTAAATGTGTTCTTACTGTCCTTCTTTTAAAAGCTTTCTTGCAACACGTTTCTAAACGTAAAGTCTTTCTTTCCAGCTAGTAGTTGTCCAGAGTATCTTCCCATGCTATTCATTGTAATTGTCTCTGAAATGAAGTATTAGGGATTTAGGCATGTGCATTTGTAATCCAGTGTATGAAGTTTTCTTGGGAAAGTATAACATGGGGAAATCGTAATGCTTACTGTGATGAGAATTCTCTCACTGTTTCTTAATATCTGCATTTATAGCTTAAAAGGTGCTCTGATTTTTGATGGTGTGAGTTTTGTTAGGTGGTACTGGAGATGGTTGGGAGGGAGCAGTGTTGTCCATACAGCTAACACTTGTTCTCAGAAGAACATGTAATATGATGATGAAAACATTTGCTTCATTGCTGAAGTGAATGTTTAGTCCCTCTAATGCTGTATAAAGGTTTTCAATACATTAAATGCCTTTCTCCACTGTGCTGGAGAAATAACTGAGGAGTTATTTGTACGATGTAGTCAGTTCTGAATGGTTACTTCTATCAGATTGAACTGAAATTCTGAAGAAAGGCCACCATTATTTTAGTGTGTGGTTTTGTTGTTGTTTTGAAATGTTGGTAGACAAATCTAGCTCTGTTATATTAGTAGCATTGCAAAGCTTAGTAAAAGGATTCATGAATAATGGGGTTTTGTTTTGTTTTGTTTGTTTGTTTTGTTGCTAGGTAAAGATTTTTTTTAAAAATACCAAACCTTTTTGCTGCTAAACCCAATAAAGTAAAAAATTCCTAATTATTCCTAGCTAATCTTTTAATACAGTATCCTGCAGGATTAAAACTTTACTTTTGCTGATTGATTTGTTGGGTCCCTTTAAAAATTACAAGAGGAGATTAAAAAGTGTCTGTTTTACTTCTACTCTAAGAAAGAGGCTGCTCAATATTTGTAAATATGCAGAATCTTTTGTGTGAGGAAATATTTGAGTTTGAATCTTTCCCCACAACTTCTGGGAATTTCAGCCTTGTTCATCTTGAGACACCTTTGCTTTTCCCTTGAGGTGAACTTGTGATTATCAGGTATTTGCTGTCTGCTGCAGCTGTAATGCAGCAGAACCACTATTGGAAATGATGGAATACTTTCCACATGCCTGTTTGTTCAAATCAAACATGGTATAGCTTGAACTTTCTAGGTGCTTCTGAGTGCTATCGCAGTAAACGTCGCTTGTTGTGTGCAGTGGATGGTGAATTGGATTGTTCCATTGAAGGCTACCAAGGAATTCCTTCTGAGATAAGTGTCACTGATGTACTAAGGGAAATAACTAGTTGAGCTTTGATTAAATACACAACTCCACAAGGAATCTGGCTTTGTCTCTGAGCTGTACTGTAAAAACAAGAAGTTTTGTCTCTGAATGTGGTAGCCATGTGGTACTAGGTTTTACTCCTTACTGCGAGTCTACACAAACTCCACGTAAACTAGGGAACAGTAACTTCACCTTTTATTAGGGTAGCTCAATTGCAGTTTTGGAGATAGCATTTGAAAGCTGTTTTGCTGAAATGCCAAATATTTTTCTACTCAGAAGCTGCAAAGAAACCTACCTTTCAGAGATGAAAGAAAAAAATGTGTTAAAACAACATTTAGTTTGTTTTGAGCCAAACAGATTGTCTTTTAGTTCAGTCTTTTAAACCAGACCATTACACCAGTGATGTGAAAACCTGTTTGAAAACCTGTTTAAACACTGAGGTTTTTAGTTTTTAAACGGCAAGAAAGTTTCTCTCTGAAATACCTTCTACCTGAGCATATGTGAAAACATTGTTCAGCTGACTTTCAGTCCTGCCATGTACAGTTTTTTTCTCTGATCATAAGTTGAATTTTGCATTGAAATGGAGCATATCACAGAATGGGAAGAAGTGAGATACATCGAAAGTTATTTAAAAACTGATGTGATTAAAATGTGAAGAAATAAATATGAAGTCTCATACAAATGCATTCATAAGATATTAAAAAAAAAAAAAAAAACAGGCTATTTCAGAGGTTTCTGAGGCTGCAGTGGTTCATTTAAAAATATGCATTGTGTTCTGTAAAGTTGCATAGTCAACAAATGTATTCATGACATGCATTTGTATTTAGTTTACTGAGAAACTTTAACAGATATTTATATGTGGGTGCTTATACACAGAAAGGAAAAAAAAGTAATCCAGGAGCCCATGGGACCTTAGCAGGAGGACATTAGGACCTGTGAAGTTTACAGTCTTAAAGCAACTCACAGAAACTAAAATCTCCTTTCCTCTGACTCCTGTTGCCATGAATGACTCCATTCATTTCAGCAAATTTTGATAGAACACAAAGGAATTGCAACATGTGCAAGTAATAAAACTTCCTGTTCAATAATGTTAACTCTTCTCTCCCTAAGCTTTAGCATATGTGATGGCATCGTTTTAAATGTAGAGAAAAGGTAGGGTTAATCTACTGACTTTGGATGTATGTAAATTTATATTGGCATGAAACATTCAACAGAGAGGTGGGAGAGTTTTCTGTATCCTTTCCAAATGGTATTGCTGCTTCCTATTCTTCATTCCTCCACTCTTCCCGGAAAAGCTTTTCGTCCTTCATTTCATCTTCCAGTTCTCTTTCCATCTCTTTTTTCCTGGTTTATTTTTGATGCTGGTTTATGCTGTTCTTCTTCAGTTCTGTGACACCTCTTTCTATTCATGCTCTGCTGTGTTAATGTTAATGGTGCCAAGTTAAAAAAAAAAAAAAAAAAAAAATTAAAAAAAAAAAATCACATAAGCAAGCTAGTTTTTTTCACAAGTACTGTAAGTCACTTCAGCACAAATGCCTGAGACTTGGCAGCAATAGCATAATAGTTAATTGAACATCTTAGTGGTAGAAAAAATAAAAATTGAAAAGTATATGTATTTTGGATTACTCAAATGCATGAGATATGTAAACAGTTCAGATGAGTGCCTTGTGCAGAGTATATAGTGTGTCTGTGATTGAATCAGATTCATTTTAACTAATATAATGTTTTTCTTTGGAAGTCCTCCTCCTAAGCTTTCTTCACTGCCCTTCTACTGTGGGTCTCTCTAGTCTTTCCCTTCCTTTGAGGTCTGATGCCAACCTGATAATTGTGAAGTTCACAAGCTTTTACAGAAACTCTTGTAATATTCCTTATTTTCTTGTTAAAGAGAAAAGTCACAGCACGTGCTTTTATGAAAAGAAATAAATCTTAGATTATGCCAACAATACCAATAGGACTCCTGGATCACAGAATAGCAGTGTCCACAATTTTATTATACCCACAACTGTCAGTTAACCTTGGCAATGAAACAACAACTTTCTTCAAAGCATAGGCTACTTGGTATGTCTCAACTGCAATTTTGTCATTGGCAGCAGGTTTGGATGTTAAATACACGAACAGTGCTAATTAAAATACGGACGCTTAATTCTTAATGACTGTTCTGGGCAACACTACCCCATATGGCGACATGGTAATTGTGACTAGTGGGAATGTAAGGCAAAATTTTGGAAGTATCTTTTTCTTACCAGGCCCTAGTAATGGATAACAATGCACGTAAAATACATTGCAGTACTGCTTCACAATTGTGCTGCAGATACTAACAGCCATGATGTGGATCCTTTTAATTAACCAAGAACTCCTTTTCTTGTTTTCCCTTTTGCAGGGGGGGGGGGGGGGGGGCTGTTTCAAAATAATTTGCATGTGCAAGAAAAGCAGCAACATGTAATTAACACAGAAGTACATGCATCTTATGAGCTACTCACAAAATGTAGTAAGTGGAACAAGAAATCGGTCAGTTAATGAACATGAAGATTTTTCTTTTTAAAGATGAGGTACTCTATGATCTGTTTCTTACATTAACACCTCTACCTAATACTTTTTGTTTGTTTATTGCAGGATGGTCGCTTGCGAGTAAATGATCAACTTGTTGCAGTAAACGGGGAGTCGCTTCTGGGCAAATCAAATCACGAGGCTATGGAGACACTGAGGCGCTCCATGTCCATGGAGGGGAACATTCGCGGGAGAATCCAGCTCGTAGTTCTACGGAGACTGGAGGCACAAACAGAGGTGAAGCAATAAATGTATTTATTAGATGAATGGCTTTCTAGTTTTAGTATTTTTGTGTAGAGGAGATGATAGCCAAATTCATGGCTGCTGAGAGCTTATCCTGGCAGAATGAATTCCTGACTTCCTAGAAACACAGTGCATCTGTTTGACATCTCCTGAGCTTGCTGTTCCTGTTGAGGCTATGCTAAAGTTTCCCCTTAGTTTGAACAGAACAGTTTGCTGTTCTGATAAGCTTTAAAACAAAAGTAAATGTGATCCTAAGACAGATGAGTGGGAATTAATGTGTTGATGTAGTTTTGACTATCTGTTACTTCCTCAGAGGCAACAGTTGAGATACAGTTTGTTTGAATTCTTCCGTTCTTATTTGTAATCACGATCAATATCCTTAATGTGACTTGAATTTTACTTCACTCTTGCTTTTTCAGTTTTGTTACTTTCATTCACTCCCTATTCTTGTGTTTTTAATTGCACTTCTTTTTCTTCCTCGCATGTGCACATACATGTGCTCTTTCTCCATCTTTTTTTATACATGAACAGATGTGTATATGTGTATAATGGCTGCCCTAACTGCTCACCGTAGTTGTAGTTTTAACCCTTAAATAAACATTTTAAGAGTTTTGATATCTGTTCCTTAAAAGTATGTATTAATTGATTTGTGGTATAAAGTGTAAAAATTCCACTACAGAATTCCAAGAGATTATTTTAAGCTGTTTATTAGATAAATATTTCTGAAACGTTTTTAAATGTTGAGGACAATCCCATTTTTTAAGTGTATTTGCATAGAATATAGCAGGGGAAGGTCCAGAGCCTTGTAGCCATTAGTAACTTAACATTTTCCTTCTAGGAGATGTATTTGATTTGCTACCATCACTGATTAAGAATTCTGTTTAGAAGAGTACTACTTGCTGAACATTATGCTCTTTGTTGGGAGAATACTTTGCATAGGAGTCTCTGTCAATCTTGTTAGGAAAATATGAAAAACATTCATATGTAATTCTGGAATATTTTATAGGAAAACACATTTTTACTTTCCAGTATTTTATATATAGCTGCATTGTACAAATGCTTGTTTCATTCATTGTAAATTTCTGTAGCATAAGATAGCTCATCATCTAATAAAGCACACTTTTGCAAGTTTTCTTCATTTAGCAATAGTCAAATTTTGGGGGAAAAAGAAGAGATCATACAAACTCAAAAACTGCAATACACTCCAAGCAAACATCATATTGACCTAATAAAAATGAGGCTGCTTTTTATAGATAAGTGTATAGTTCTGTATATTATCCAGATGTATGAAAAAAGTAAATCATCTTGACTCATGCCCTATGAAGGATGCATGATGAGGTCTTGATTGAATCAAATTCATTTTAGACAGAAATTAATTTTTATGGGTTAGTCTTTAGGTTCAATTGTAATTCCATTTGAGTCTGGAGACCATAGCAGAAGTGCGTTGTTGCCCATTCTTTTCTTTCACCAGAACAGCTTCCGAAGTAGTGCATCTCAGCTTGGTAGAAGCAGAATACATTTAGAAATGCATTACTGTTTTTATTGGTCAGGACACTAATGGAGGTCTTCCAAGACAGCTATATTTTATAAGCTGAATACTCTAAATAGGTTGGTTACTGATCAGTTGTTGGGATATTGATTGTGTCATTTATCAAAGAGCTGGAAAAGCAGATTTGTTGTTGTTAATTTAAGGCTCCTTATCCTACTGGGTACAATCTTGACTGTTGCAAGGCTTAGTTTAGCTAGTAGTACTCATGAGAAAGTAGTAATTGTGGGCTTTGCTAAATGAGACATCTTACATAAACTAAGGAATTTCCAGTAAGGAAAAGAACTGTAATTGTTAGTGTGCTGTGTTTGGATGTATTTCTGTACCAAGGCTCAAAATAACCTTTTCAAAGGGCTCATGGTGCACTAACGAGGGGAGAATGTTGCTTGTGCTGCCCCTGCACCGAGACTAGATTTGTAGCCATATTTTCACCGCAAGCCATCTCTATGTTGGCTTGTGTTCTGTGCTGAGGTTCATATTTTGTCACTTAAAAAAAAAAGTTATCCAAGAACTCGAAAGGCAAATTACAACTGATTTGACACACACTCCTTTCTCATGCGCTGGTTTGGCACTTTGCTGGTTTTCACTTGCCAGTGCAGTGGGCATCTTGTATGGTTGTACCGATAAATGATAGGAGTTAGATACACGTACTTCTTCTGTGGAACAGCTATGTAGTTAAAGGAATGATATACTTAGTGTAACATTTACTGGAATAATGTACATGCAGTTCAAAAATAGATGCCAGTTGGGTGCCCCTACAAAACAACGTGTATGGGAAAACTATAAAGGCCATTCTGAAAACTATCCATAATATTCTTCTGTGTGGGTTTTCTGTTTTCCCTGAATAACGAGTACAGAAACGTCTTTCTGAATCTGTCCCAGTTTTAGAAACTGTGATTTTTTTTTTCTTTTGAACAACTGCTCAGGAGAATAAATTAGGCGATCTGGGGGTGGGGAGTGCCGCAGAAGAAAAGCTGACTAGAGGTGTGACAGGAGTTTGTTTAGCTGCTAGCCAGAAGACCTGCGCTTGGGAGTTTGGTGTAACTCCTTACTTGCAAAACTGCTCTAGTGTGTGATCATCAGAACATATGTACTCAGTCTCTGAGAGAAGGATACCAGCTGGCTGGCAGAAAAATACCATTGGCATTGCCTGTGTTCTTGTGTTGACAATGTCACAAGCTGCCCTCCCAGATGGAGAATTTGAATGAAGCCAGTTGTGGGTCAGAAAGAAAACACTCCTCGTTTTTTGTGCATCGCACAATGATTGTTAGTGCCTAGATACCGTCTTATTTCATGATCAGCAACAACAGTCATTTTGAAGATGTCTTACAGTGTAAGCGGTGCATTTTACATTACACTGTTTCTGCACTGCCCATAGTGATGACAGGGCTTCTGTACTGCAGAACATTTAATTTTTTTATAGAATGTGTGGTTCTGTTTTTTTTTTTCCTTAGGATCGCTTGGACCAGGGTGTCTGTCAAAAATCAGCATGTGATGGGAGTCATAACTTTGCAGCTGTTTCCCGACGCAATGGTGCTGTTCTTCAGCAATTTGTAAACTGTGGCCCTCAGGAAAGAATACAAGGTAGTCTTAGATATCGTTCTGTGTGCTAAAATAAAGTGCTTTTTTATCTTTTTTTTTCCCTTGAAATCCAGAGCCACTAGAAAAGCATTTAATTAGAGTAAGTGCATACTATGTTACTTTGAGGCATGAAGATACAGAGAGGCTGGGAGAGCTGACTCAGAAGTTGTGAATTAGATTCCTGGCACAATTTCCAGTTTAAGTAACAGTTTCTAGCTCACTGCCCCAACACGTAAGGTTGGTTAAAAAACAAATGATGAGTGCAAAATATATGTTGTCAAAATGTTTATTTTCTATATAACTTTAATGAGTTCAAAGATTTTTTTTATTGAATGGTTAGATTTATGTCCCATGTTATTATCAATTAAATGAATTTATAAGGAAGTGTAATATTCATAAAGTATGCTTACTTATTTTTAGCTAAAAGGAAAAAACTGTTCAAAGGTTAGAACCTTTAAACCCCCAATTACCTACAATTAAGTTGTTTAAAAAAATGTACAAAGAAGTTATGCATGTACGAGTATAAGCAAACGTACCAGTAGGAGCTTTGAAGACTGCAGTTTTCCCGTTATCTTTCATTTCTGATTGCTTTCTATCTATCTGTCTGATTTGTACCTGACTCAACGAGATGCTAAATAGTTGAAAAATTTAAATATTTGAGGTGATCCTGATGCTTTTAAAAATACTCTTGTCCTTCAAACCAAGCACGTGCTTCATGGTTAAATTTATGGCAGAGGAAAATAGATTTCTTTGTAGTTGAATTATGCCTGATTTTTCTCAGTAAGCAACAGTGGAACCTGTGTGATCTGCAAAAAAGTAATTTCATATATGACTACAATGACTGCTGGGGGGACCTTTTAACCTGCACTGTACAGCTCATAAGAAATTCCCAGGTAATCCAGGAATAAATCATTTTGTGTTCACGTCAGTGTTTTGAAATTGTGACTCCAGGCAAAGGATGGCAGATTTAGACTCAAGCATTGTAAAATCTCAGATCTTTTGGCTTAGCTCTACGTTGTGTTTCTGTTGTTGGCGTTCATACTGATTCTGTAGTCAGAGAAAAGGGTCATCCTTAGAGCTAGCCTGTCCTGTAGAGTTAGCTGTTGCCAAAGGATTACAAAATAGTAATGACCTGTGAAGTCTTTCTTTAAAAATGAATAAGCAACTGCTCTGGTGCCACCAGTGCAGGTTAGTGGCAACACATAACCTGTCACTTCAGTGAACTTTAAAACAAAATTTGTGGAAGATCTTTTTAATGAAGGTTGTCCAACTGTAATCAGAAAATCAGGATGAGTAGCTTGTATCACATTCATAAACAGTATTTTCAGTAGACACTGTTGTTTTAGTTAAAGTATAATGTAATGGTATGAAGGTATTACAATATTTATTTTAAGGACTTATGATTATTGATTTGCCTAAAGACTCAGAGAACTACTATTCTGAAGAATTTTAAGAACAGTTGGTGATATTTTGCGTGTATGTTTTTAATAGTTTTTCTTTCGGTCCTGTGATACGTACATCAGACCTGAGCCTGTCATGCAATGCAAAACATTAAAAAAAAAAAAAAAAAAAGAGTTTCATATTTTGTGGAAACAAAAAAAGAAGAGCTGTGGATGGAACGCTGAACACTCAAGTTCAGATTTGTTTTCAGTTGTTCAGTTAATAATTTTTTTTAGAGGAGTAAAAAAGAAGATTGTCAGTAAATTTGATTTATTATTATATTTTCCTGAGTAGAATGTAAGTGAATTCAAAAAGCAGAGAAAATCTTTTTTTTTTTTTTTTTTTTTTTAAGCATTTTAAAGAGGAAAAGAAGGAGGAAAAAAATTGATGGCCTCAGAAAAAGGGTGTGGGACAGAAAAGGATGCTCTGCAGTGCTGCTGAGGGCTATCATCAGGGAAGGTTTAGCATGGTTGGGGCTTCTGTGAAGGGACAGTAAATGACAAAGGCTCTTCTAGCACTGCTGGGAACCTACTGGAAATATAATTTTATTGAGCTTTCTGTAAAAGATTTGGCATGTGATGGGTAAATTTTAAGTGGGCTTGATGAAGAATCACACAGGCTCTTTCAGCTGAAAGCATATCTGAGATAGGATTCTAATCTGAAATTTTTCAGGTGAAAGAGACTTTGGTTCTACAGTAATCCTGTATTGTAGAAATATTTCTCTGACTTTGAAGTCATAGTATTAATTACTGGAGAGCTAATCTTTCTGCTTTTCATGTCAGCCTGTCACTTGTTTCCAGTCACTGGTTCAAATATGTTATGTACGTTGTTTCCTATATAAGTCCCTGAAGACAAATATGAAGGCAAAGTACTGCAAATATGCCCAACCTCATTTAACTCCGTTATGAACTTTAGGCAGTCTGTTAAAGAAATGAGTCACAGGCAGGGTACGCTGCTTATGACAGGCAAGAACAGCCCCCTGTTGCACATTGTTATGATGTGCCATCCAGATCCTGGATGTGAAGGTCCAGCTGGTACAGTATCACATGCAAATAGTAATGAAAAGTAGAAGAGATTTTTAATGTAATTCTGGATCTAATGCAGCAATTTAATGACATGAGCTGTATTAGGTTTAATAAAATGTCACTTTCTCAATTAATGTTTTCCAATAAGTTATTTCTAGTATCATTCACTGCTCCGACCAATAAAACTCTTCTAAAAGCTCAGCAAAAATACACTGAAGCTTGGCTTGCTAATACTGTTGTCTGTTTTAAAAGCCTTTTATTATACATGAGCAAGAAAAACTAGTGTCTAGGGAGAAGTAGTTATAGCCGAAACATTACATTTTTTTTCTTGCCTGTGGATATTTAAATAAAGGGGGAGGGAATACTGATCCAATATTGAATTGCCTGTGTTTGTTCTGTTTTTTGCATGAATAATACTTGCTGCCTTCAGGTCCTCACTTCTTTTGCTGCCAAGCTGTTGCACAGATTCAGTGGCTTTTTTTAGAAAAACCTCTTTGAGAAACAATACTTCAGTGCCAGCAGCTTTACATTTCTGGTGCTGAAAGATTACTGGAATGTGTTTCATTAGATATTCTTACATATTTCTTATCACTCTTTATTATACACGGTTATAGGGAAGTGCCATCATCTCTCTGCGTAAGTAGTAGAATAATCATAAAATACCTCTGCTGCCACTGATGGCCGAGTCTGAGCTTGTACAAGCATCTGTGTTTTCATAATGCTGGGACAGAAAAATTAAGAAGTTATATTTTATAAGAAACATTTAACTTTTGCATGTAAATATCATGTGTATCTTACAAAGTAACTCAAATCTGAGAGATACTCTGAAAATATTGCCTCCTACGTTATTATGTTGGCCCTTGATGTCAGAGGTGATATGGTAGCTACTACTGAACTTCCCACCAATATTCCATTGCATTTTGTTGTGTGTGACAGACATCAGCAGAGGGGCAGTCTGACAGAATGGTGTCTGACATGGAAGTGTGTGTGAAGCAAAGGTGTGTCACTGAACTCCTCCATGTGGAAAGAATGGCACCCACTGACATTCATTAATATCTGTTAATGACATTCTTTTATATCTGTTTCTGGAAGCCAAACAGAGGATATGAGCACACTGAAAGTTGGACTGTGTGGGCAACATTTTGCTAATAGCAGTGCCATCATAGGAGCTGTGAAACAGCAGGTCACCTCCACTGGTGCAGATGTCTGTGAGCACAGCATGCAGGCTCCTGTTCATTGGTGAAAACACATAGCTGATTGTGTTGAATAAATCCTGAGCCTCCAATTTTCATAAGCTGATTCTTAAGAAGTAGCTTCGTAAAATATATTCTTATTTTACTTTCTGAGCATTTATTTTCCTGAACTGCTTAATATCTGAAAATGTAGTGCATTTTTTTTTTTACTGGTTTAGCTGTTCAGGTCACTTGGGATCTGCTAAGATCTTTCCTCGTTTGATCCTGCTTTAATTTTGTTGGGATCTACAGATCCCTGTGGTCATTCCTGATTCTCCCGAGAAGTTGATTGTTTTACTGTTTCTTCTTGTCTACTGCAAGAAAAATGCCAGTGAACCAGTCACTTAAACAGCATTTGTGACGTGACAAATCAATTTCAGTGAATCAAAGTTAATAAAGCAATACAATTGGTAACATCCCCAACTATGGTCACTGGAGGCTGCTCATAGGAAGAGGATAAGACAACAGGATAGATGGGTAGGACAGCGTCATGCATATGTTTTCTGATGTTTTATGATTTAGGGACTTCTTGAATCAGAATGTCTAGACCATCATGCTTTTGATACCTTCCTTTCTCTTCGCCCATTTCTCTCTTTTTTTTTTTTAAAGTTGGTTTCCAAAACATTGTCATGGCAATGAGATCCATGAGTTTATGGCACACAAAAAGCTGCTGTTTTGTGTTTTTCCTAGGTGTGCTGCTTGATAATTACACTGAGTGCCTTCTTGTTACTGTGTGTGACAGTGAGAGCTTCCTTTTCACCTTGTGCATAGTTTTTATGATTTCATAGACTTGTTTTATCTCCCCTTTTATTGCTTGCTATTCTAGATAAAGTAATCCCACTAAATGTCCAACTATCCTTACCGCCTTTTCAGTATGTTTCTGAATTATATATACTACATCCTCTTTCAAATGGGGAGAATGAAAGCCTTACATGCTATTTAAAAATGAAACACACCATTACCTTGGCGAATGAGATGGAGTGTTTGGACTTTTCTTAAGACTCGGAATGTCTCTTTACTTTTTGAATTCCCTAAGCATATATTCAAAGAAAAATCCAGCCCACTTCTATGTTATTGTTCCTGAGTGCCAGTCGCTGATGAAATAGTCTTTGTGTACATGTCAAGAGTTTTCCCTTACTCCTGTGTGTATTGCTTTGCAGTCATAAGCATGGAATTTCACCTGTATTTTATTTCCTACTTGCTATACTGCACTGCTTTCTGCAGAGCTTCATAGTCAATTTATTTTTGGCAATTCTGAATAATTTCACATGAGTAAAATCTTCTGATTCCCTTCATCTTTCAGATCATTTAATTACATTGAACAGTACAAGTCCTCCTTTTTCTAAATATTCTTTTTACTGTAAGAGCTCACCATATATTCCTGATGTTTTCTGTCCTTAAAGACCTGAAAGAGCATGATCTAAATGCAGTAAGTCACAGCACGAGTGTTGGGAAGCTTGTCTGATTTCTATTTCAGACTGACAATCCGTTGGTTTTTTTTTTGGTTTTTTTTTTTTAAGACCTCGTTGGAACTTTTCTCCACATCTACCCACCTTGCATTTACTCTGAGGAAGATCTCACTTCTCCCGGGAAAGAGCTGGAACTATTCCATCTTTTTTCTAATCTTTGGCATGCTATCCAGCCAATAGAAGGCTCATGGTTTATAGGATCCTTGACCTAATAGTGTAGTTTTGTTGGTTTTGTTTGTAGTTCCCTAAAATTAAACAAAACCAAGTTCAGTGTGCTTATGTAATGGTATCTTCTCTTGCAGTCTGGCTTAATCCTCTCCGTTTAAAGCATTTTTCTCACAAGTTAGACTGTGTACTAAGTAGTACTAAGACTAGTACTTTCAGATAGGATTGTACAAAGAACCAACATATCCAATGCAACAAACAGGTCACATAAAAATGTGATAGGTAATTGTTAAATCATTATCTTCCATTGAAACCCAAGGATTATTAAATATCCTTCTTTCTAGTGAAGTTTTAGAGGGTTGAAGATGTATTCTACATTGAAAAAAATCTAGAGACTTCTTAGAAGATCAGACCTTTATATTGAAAGGCTTGAATTTACAGGACAATAATGAACTGGTCTGCAGCAGGCACAGCACTCATATTAAATACTGCATGTATGTAAGTGTTGTTGCTTAGCAAACCGCTGAGGGTTTAATTGAGTAGTTCATGTTTTTCTTGGTTGGAAGTAATTTTCTGGTGTGAACAGAATGTCTTCTGTAGAGGTAAAGAAGAAATTGCCTTAATAGCAGGAAAATGAAGATTGTAATTCAGAAAGACCTTTTTCTTTTCTTGCCATGGAATAACAGAATTTTTTTCTTCTGAATTCTTTGTTGAGAAGAGCTCTCTGCTGTACATGAAGGATGGTAAATGCTCCCTGTCAAAGGAAATTAAAGCGTGAACTTTAAATCAGTGAGGATGCAGCTGTACCCTAGATGTGAAAATTTCTTGCACTCAACTTCACTATAAGCACAAAGTTTCCCTGTATTTGTCTTTAATTATGCATATGCAAATCTGAAAATCAGCTCTTCAGGAATTCCCACGGGGCGTATTTTCTGCTTGGTATGATTTTAATTCTAGTTTAGTTAGTTTAGGGATTTGAATAATTTGTGAGTCACTTCAGAATTGCTTAAGGCCTTCCAGTCCAGTTATTGATCAGTGAACTGGTATAATGTACTTCTTTATGCAGCTTTTTTTTTTTTAACACAGACACCCCCTTTTTTCTTAATTTCAGAGTTGCCAGTGTCTGACTGTGGCAATTGTGAAAATGAAACTCCTCCACCTCTGCCACCACACCCTAGTGAGGATCTGCTGAATGAGGATCATAACCATAGGTTGGAGTTCATCTATTCTTCATATTTACAACCCTGACTGCTAATCAATGATTGTGATACTGTGGTTCTTATCAATTTTAAAATCACTTATTTTGCAAAAATCTGTAGTATTGTTTTTACAGTCACCCAATACTTTAATATAAGCTGATAACATTTTTCTGGCGTTTAGTGCTTTTCTCATAAGCTGCTCTGTACCTCCTCTTTAAGGTCTATGGGTCACCTACTGAGCATGTGGTCAGTAAAACAAAGAGAATTCCAAAAACATAAACTCATTTTTAAAAAAAAGAAAGAAAAAGTGAAGCATAGGTGCAGTGCCTAAAGTCACTTAAAACTTTAAAAGCCCAAGCCAGATTCACTTTGTAGGAACACTAATCTTCTTACACAGTGTGTCAGCCTAAGAAATCTTCAAGCTTAGGAAATGATTTTGCTAAGTGTGAACACTGAAATGTATAGAAAAAAATGTTAACAATGAAAATTTTGCCAATTAGAAATGAGTTGGGTAGATTATTCGGATACTTTAAGAATGTCTTATTTTAAAGCTGACATCCTTGATGTCAGCTACAGATTTTATTTTCCTTTGCAAGTAGTGCAGAAAAGAAGTAAAAGTGGTGAGGTTCATGCTGTGACTTATACCATGACTTAAGAGCATGGAATTCTCTCAGTAGCACAGGTTACACATATTTCAGCCTGTTGTACTTTCAGGATGGAAAGACCGAGCATTGAACACGATTTACTCGTTTTGTGTACAGTCACATTTGAGATAGCCACATAACTATTTTGTTTTATTGAAAAGTGTGATCCTTTCAACAAAACCTTAGCTGTACTTCTGCCCTTGTGCGTACTGATGTGGTTATAAACCAATCTTTAAATGACTGGTTGCAGATAGTATCAGGCTACCTCAAATTCTTCTTTATACTAGCAGTCAGTAATTTCATTATAGTGATTTCATAATTTCTTCTCTCCCAGGCATACAGGTATGACACGGTAAACAAAAAAAATATAAAACCTCTACCTGGACTAATGGAAATCTCCATTGAATTCCCAGCTGCAGTTGTTTTCTAGAATCTATTGCTAATTTTTCAACAAGCTGGGAGCAAAAATGTTCCCTTAAATGATGATGATGTATTAGGAGGATGATGTATTTAAAGGCCCTTTCTGCCTCCTTGTTTTTTTTCCCTAGTGTTATATTGGTTTTCCACTTGGATCATAAGTTGTGTTGAAATTGAATTTCTGTGGAAAGTCAAACAGTTTTCACTTAAAATGAATTATGGTGAAAGGAGCAAACCAAAAGTCCTACAACAACAACAAGAAGAATGCAGGAAAATTTTTGACAGTGTAAAACTGTTTTGATTAAAGAGTTCAGAAATGAATATTTTTAATTTTGGAAATCTTTGATCACATATTTAAAAAAAAAAATCTTACTAAAAAAGATGGGGAATTTTTCAGGTGTCTTTCTGTGAAGTGCTTTGACTCCTCCCAGGGGAAAGTTACTTTTGAGTTTCGCTCATGGAATTTTGATATGTTCAGATATTTGTCTACCTTGATGCAAATTCAAGTATTTAAAAACAAAAACTACACATTATCTTAAAATTCTTCAGGGAATTATGTTGTCTTACATAAGACCACCAGTCTTCAGCCTCTGCCAAAGTGTTAGGTGGCTGTATGCATTTAGAACAATTTCAGATTAACAGATGAAGAATTGGAAGGGGTACGATGGTGATATTTTCCCCAACTTTCTGTAGCGTATTATTTGGAAATGCAGTGGCAAAATGGAACTAACAGAACATGCACACACTCAAAAAACACCCTAGCAAGTACTTGTATGTTCCTGCTTTCTTCTGCTTAATAAAAAATATGAATTGTGTAAAAGCAGCAGCTATCACTAAATGTTTTTCATTGCAAATGCAAATGTAAATAAGTGACTAGAGGTGCTAAGTCTCACAAAGGAAACTTGAGGATCAATAACTGATTTTAAAATGCATGGCTGCGAGCAACTGGAAAGAAGAAACACATGTATAGTGTGTGTGTTTTAATTAGATCACTTGTGTTTTGAGCTGGTGCCTAAATATTTTACATCATCTTTTTTTCTGCAGCCCTACCATAAATTCAGCAGTGTATTTAGCAGATCAGCACATCAACTTCACATCTTTGACACCAGCCAAGCAGTCTGAATCAATTAATCTGAAAGCCTCAAAAAGCATGGATCTGGGTAAGAAGGGGTGGGGTGACACATAGGTCAGTTTTTAGCCTCAGCATATCTGCACCATCTCTGTTTCTTGCTTTTGTTTCTTAAACACAAATATCAGGTAGTAAGTTCTGCAGAGGAGCTGTGGTGATGGGGACAGTGTTCTGTCTTGTGCAGCATCTTAATTGCGAGTAGATACAAGAAGAAAAGTGTATTTCTCTTTTCTTAAAGGCCATTCTATCTACTGTATTGAAATCTTAGCTGAGAAAAAGAAGGGAGCTTTTGTAAAAATGAGCAGAAAGAATAACTGTACAAGTTTTATGTGTCTAAAAATATAGCAAAACAGCAATAATAAAAGGCTTTTTTTTTGTGTAAAATATAAATGATTGCCAAACTACTGTGGACAAAGGCTAACTTTCTTAAAACAAGTTGTATATTTTTCATTGACAATGACAAACACAGGCAATCAAAGCGCTGCAGTAAATCTTTATAAATGCTTGAAGAGTGGTAAGGTTATGGTCCTCTACCCATCAAAGCTGCACAGAAAATCTTACAGGCTGGGTGAAACAAAGTAAATGATTCTTTCAATATTGATAAAGCATTTGCGAGTGAAAAATTGAGGGGTTATTGCAGTTGAAAACTGTGTCATGTTTTGATGATAGTTCAAGGAAAAATTTGCAAGGTTCTTAAGCCGTGAAGAATCAGAAACCAAATAAGCATGCCTTTTGCCTTTTAGTTCTTTGTGGCACTAGTCCTTTATCTTTCCTTTTCAGATTAAAGTGTTGAGGGGGTAACTTAGGGAGCTGTCATTAGGGTGTGTTTAACAATAGATTTGTTTTGTTGGATCAGACTTTCATAGACAATGAATATATTCTTATATTGTGTTAAGATAACCTTTTGTGATTTTTTTTTTTTTCTTGAAATGTTCAAATTTGGTCTTAGTTCTTGTATCATCGATCCTTATTTCTTAGTACTGTAATATTATTTTAATGTACCATTAAATGTGTGTGCTTCTATAATGGAGTGCTAGGAAATTGAAACAGTTACTAACACATGGTAAGGATAATTTAGAGCAGTTTCTTAGACATAAAATACTTCAATTTTGAAGTTATTGAATGACCTGACCAGAAATGTGTCCTTTTGCATTCTGTTCCACCCTTTTGACAAAGAAGGATGCATTAGATGGATTTCTTTTTTCATGTTCTCTTTTTTATTGTTGTTTAATGTTACTCCACATAATGAAGAAAGAAATGAGCTTTTAGACCTGACTACTTCATGTACTTCATGTAGTCAGCACCTGGATGCTTTTCTGTGCAGCCTACTGTAGGGATTCTGCTTTAGCAGGGCAGTGAAGTAGATGATCTCCAGAGGTTCCTTCCAGCCTCTACAATTCTTTGATTCTGGAAGGTAAAAAACATAATGTTCAACTTTACAGAGCCTTTTTTTGGCTCGTTTACAGCTCCCACAGAAGTCATTATGAAAGAATGCTTGTAAGCAGCAATATAATACTAGGCAATGAGAATGTGCTTGAGAGTGTGTTCTGAACTACCAGGTAATTTGCCCTTCCTTTCTTCCAGTTCTTGTGTTCATTTATATTGTAAGATTCAAAGCAGTATAAACAATCTGCTTTTGATACACACACGTGATGTTTTGAGAATGTACCTGATTTACTTAATCGTAGTGGTTAAAAAATAAAAATGAGTGTGTAGATGTCCTTAATGTTTAAAATAATAATAATAATAATAATAATTGTTGCTTGTAGAAGGTAGTTGTTGAAAATGCAAGTAAAACCAAAAGGGATAATGATCAGTCTGGTTGGAAACAGTCATGTTTTATCTTGTGCATGGTGATGTGATTTGTGTATTCTAAAGGTAAAGCTGACACAGATATTTAAAAAGCTGGAGGAAGGAGTGTAGTGCAGCTGCACACGTGAAGATTGTTTGTTTTTTAAAGTAAATTACTGCTTTATTAAGGAAATGTGCCCGATTTTAATTGTTTTGTTAAGGTTGCTAGTTACTTACTGGGAAAAAGGCCTGAGAAAGAAACCTGAGTGTTTCTATCTTGTAGAAAAATGAAGCTAGGACCTCTTACAGACATTCTTTAGTAAGTGGTGAACCACTGTGTTCAGTTTTCTACTTATAAAAGATTTTCATTGAAAGCTTTTGGCTAGAAAGGTAAGGGGAAGAGAAACATGAAAATCTGAGTTAAAGAACTGCAATATAAACACTGCTAATGCAACTAAAATTTCAGTAATTTGGTACCTAAAACTTTGCTTCCAAAGAGAGCATTCATATAATGTACGTTCCAAAGTGTATTTTTGGAGAAGGGAGTTATTAATGTAGTTTTATATTACATGTATTATTGAACTGCAGTCGTCACCCATAGTAAGTTCTCATGCCAACATGCTGTCGAGTACCTATCATTGATTTTAGTGCACTTGCCAGTACAAAAAAGATGGGATGTGCTTCTGTCTTTCTTTTCCACCCAGAGTTGTGGGTTCTGTGAATGACATATAGCAGATTTGGTAACAAAGGATGTTTTTGCTATCTGAAAACATAACCACTAGGGCCTCTTTTTCTGGCCATCGTGTGTTCTAAAGTTCTGCTGTTCCTTTCCAAAATAAATAATACGATGAACAGAAAAATAACAGAAATAAATTCTAGAAGAAAAGCTTTGAGACTTCACAAAATGTGACTTAAGTGCAGTTTCTTTCCCTTAAAACCAAATAGTGTCTAAATTGGATGTCACCACAGATTTGGAAAGACATAGCCTGTCTTTAAAGGTGTAAAGTTCAGAAATCACCTGGATATCTTTAGACAAAAACAACATCCTAATATCTTTACAACAGAATTAATGTAATTTTGAGTATGAATGTGAAATCTTTACTTCTATCCACTTGGAAATCATTGCACTTTACTTTGGAATACGTTTGTAATACGTCGATTGCATAGTTATGAGATGAAAATGGCGTGGATTACATGATGGCATCATCTTAAGAAAGATCATGAAAGGCGGGTAACAAGTTTAAACATGAGAAGCTGAGAATCCTGGCATTGCTACAGATAGCAAACCTGAAGGCAGTATACTAAATTTGTTAGATTAGGGGGGTAATGAAATTACAAAGTACGGATCTTCTCATTTTGGTGAGAGTTGACATATGCTTAAAAGGCAAATTTGTTAAATAAAGACTAGTCTATAATTATACAGATTCACAATACAAACCCACTTAAAATCAATGTTTATCTTTTCAGTTGTATAGATATTGGTGACTCCAAAAGTAATGCCTCCTATTTATTTCCGTGGAAACTACAACAGATTCGAAGAGCACAATAACATTATTTGACAGAGCAAATTCTGAGCTATGAAATGCTATTTTTCAACAGTCATCACCATTAGCTGTGCATTTTTGCCAGCAGTGGATGAGAGCTTGTGTGTCTTGCTTATAAAAATCTGTATGGCTTGTCTTTTGCATCACTGTCACCACTGCTGAAACTCACCACCCACTACCTCACTGTGCTTACATCCCCTGTTTGATCTCCAGAAATGTTCAGCGAATGTTGATGAGTGTCAGTGGATACCATTTTTTTTCATATGGGGCAACTCCATGTCACACCTTTGCTTCATACGTACTTCCGTTTCAGATGCCTTTGTGTCAGGCTGCCCCTCTGCTGCTGTCTATCAAACTGTAACAAAATGTAATGGAATATTGGTAGGAAGGTTGAATTTCTACCTCCCTGCCACCAACAGTTTCCTCTGACATCGTGGGCCAATGTTATAAAATAGGAGGCATTATTTATGGAGCAGTCCTTCATATTTAAGGCCCAGAAACTTTTGAGCCCCTAATCAATTTTCCAGTCACATTTGTTTACAAAATCATAATCATTGTAAATTAATGCCCTCAGTGAAGAAAATCAGGAAATAAAGAGAAAAAATGCAAGAGTGTACAGTACTGTTAGCACATAGCATCATCATTCCACGTATCAAATCTTGTAATGAAAGGGATGTGGCATGTACAGTGAGAGCTGTAAGTTAATTGTCAGTAGGAAGAAATGGTTTGACGGTGCTTCATATCCTGTGTCCTATGGTATACTTTTTCTTTGCCTTGTCTACTTTTATTTTGAACTGGTGACAAAAGAACACCACCACACATTTCCTTTTTTTAATCATGGCACTTGAAAAATGTCCACTTGGTTGTGTGATTTCTTACGGATGACAGTGCTTGTGAATATATTAGCAGGAAAAAGAAGTGTCCTTTTACCACGATTTCAAGAATTTGTGCAGACCAGCCAACGTCTGACTTGGATTGCTTAGTTGTACTGATTAGATTTAGACTGCTTGCCAAGTCTGGACCTGTGCTTATAATACCATGCTAAAAACTAGTGAAACAAATTCAGAAATGCTGGAAATAAATTTGGTGTTGTGCCTTCCCACTTCTAGAATAAGTCATACTTTTTTTTATTTAATTGCAGATGAAAATGAAGAAATCAATGTCTTCTATACAAGTCATTGGAATGACCATTTTTTCTTTCCTTCTATACACGCAGATTTTCTCACACATTAGCATGCATTTCTAGAAAATAACTTCTGTTTTACTGTCCATCAGAATTCATTTTCAGTAGCATTTTTTCTTTCTTTTAACTGTATTACAAAGGAGACAGAAGAGCAATATGGATTTTATTGTGTTGTATCAAAAAAGAAGAGAAGAAGGAAGGCAAGAATATTTTATTAATCTCCAGCACTTCTATTTTCCATAAATCTTTATGCTCAGGAATGATTTAGGTTATGCAGGAGTATAACTGTAGCCATGGGAATTATATTCAAAAACATGGAAGTGTGGCTTGTTTTAACCTGAAGCAGCATGAAATTGAACCATATGAGTATATAGCAGTTTTATTTTGTATCAATTCAGGCAAAGTGCTTTGTAGATTTATATTTAAGGATGTTGTTATAATGACCCATGACCGCTATCCCAAGGTACTCTTCCTTTCCCCATAAATAGAAAACCCATAGATTCTAACTGATGA